GTCTATGTTGAGGCGGAGCAAGACGGCGACATGGCGGATATCGGCGATATCGCGAAGCCTGATCCGGCTACACTTGGCAAGCTTGTTTACAATGTTCCTGGTGCTAAGAGCATACTGGATATACCTCCTATGGCTGCTCAGGTAAGGAAGAGATTAATTATACATCAGCCAGGAAAAGCTGGTTAGTTTTTATTTTTATTTTAATCTTTATAGTTATTTATAGAATGTATAGTTTTTAGATTATATGAAATAGTATTAATGATAAATTATTTAAAATGATCGAGGGAGCCTATAAATTTTGTTTTATGTTGAATAATGAATTTAGGTATATTTTTAGATTGTAATTATTATATAAATTTGTGATATATCTCTTCAATTATTAGTTAGAAATGAATTTTTATGAAAATTGTTCAAACGTAGTGAAATTTTTTTTAAAATATATTTTAGATAAAATATTATTAATGCTGTAAAATTATATTTAAATGATCCAAAAAATTCAGAACAATAAGATTGTCAAGTTTTATTGAAATTTGACTCCAAATAAACTCAATAAATCTAAATCAATAAATATGTATGATAAGTTATTACAATAAAAATTATAAATTTTATATAATACTTGTAAAATAGTTATTTGAATCTTAAAATGATATTAAATTTGTTATATATTTAAGATGAAATTATTTTATCCTATAAAGATTTATTTTATTCGGGTCATTTATACTTCTCATAATCTTATTGATCTTCATATTTATTTGACAAATCGAGTCTCTGACTCTCTGACTGCATTGAATAGCTTTGTAGTGTTTCGAGGAAGAAACTTTCAATTAGCATCTCATAATCGTATTTATTTTATTAAGATAGAATAAAAAATTACTAAACTAAAACTAAATGTATTTAAAATAAGGCAATTTACATTCTTACCACATAATTCTCACATATTTACATATCCAACACCCAAAAGTTTATGAGAAAATCTTAATTGCGTGAGCAAATTTAATTCATAGCAGTTGATCTAAAACGATAAAAAAATCACTGCAGGCTGACTTTAATATTATAAGAACCAAATTTGTACTCCAACCCTCGTTTGTATGAGTTCGTTTCCATCCTCATTTATTTTTTCTGTAATGGCAGATTTTTTTTTGTCGGGGGGTTGTTTATTTGTTTTTTTTTACACCTATGATATTTGGTATAATTACACGAATAGCACTCGAAACTTTATTATTCACAAAATTGACATCTAAATTATTGATATGTATATGCAGATGAACAATTATTTCATACATTTTAATAAAGTCATATCGAGGAATGAATCAAGTGTCTGTATATAAAGATGTACGGTCATTGTTTAAGAAAATCAAATCAATCGAAATTTAGTTTAGTCAAATTGGTATGATTTGAAAGAACCAAATCAATTATATAACAATTAATGAATCCAAGTATTTTTTTTAGTTTAATTTGCATGCATAAAAAATAACAAACAATCAACTTAAAATTTTATAATTTTATAATGTGAAATAAGTAAAATTAATGTTGATCTTTCTTATATTTATTATTTGTGGTTTCTAACTTAAAATAATATTATATTTTGTTTGATTTGTCTTATGCTTTTAGTTTTATTTATAGCATTTTATTTATACAAGAAAGATCTTTTTTTTTGTGATATAAAAAATTGTGTAATATATAAAAATTTTGTGATATATATATGTCAATGCCCGACATCCAATAATTTATTTAATATTTAAAAATAAGAATTAAATTTCCATTCTTTTTAAAATAATTCATGCCGATTTGAATGGCGAGCATGTCCATGCAAACCTCATATCTATCCGCAAAGAGTAGTGTAGGCGACGATCGGATTACCCGGACCAACAAAGACCTTACCCATCATTTATTACCTAGTGACGTTATAAATGCATGTGGTTGGCTCCCCAGGGCCGGGCTTCCTTTTCCCAACCACCGCGGTAATTTAACTGCATTAAACCTAAAGTGATGCAGACTTCTATACTAATTTAACTGCATTCAAGAATTTGAAGACGGATTGATTTCGAAACATTTTATTATCATTTAAATTTTTTTTAATGTTAATCTCTTGAAAAAAATTCATTTTTTTTTTATGAGCAGGTGACCAAATTCAAATGCGGCGGCTTCATCCTGGGCCTGGCCATGAACCACTGCATGTTCGACGGAATCGGCGCCATGGAATTCGTCAACTCGTGGGGCGAAACAGCCCGCAATCTCCCCCTCTCCCTCCCCCCTTTGATCGACCGCAGCCTCCTCAGCCCTCGCATCCCTCCCCTCATCCAATTCCCCCACCACGAATTCAGCGAAATCGAAGACGTCTCCAACACCGCAGCACTCTACGAATCCCAGCCCATGCTCTACCGCTCCTTCTACTTCGACCCATCCAATCTCGACCAACTCAAAACCAAAGCCACCGAATTCGAGTCCATTTCCAAATGCACCACCTTTGAAGCCCTCTCCGGCTTCGTCTGGCGAGCCCGAACCCAAGCGCTGGGCCTCCATCCCGACCAACAGGCCAAACTCCTGTTTGCAGTTGACGGCCGCTCCCGTTTCCAGCCTCCGCTGCCAAAGGGGTTTTTCGGTAACGGAATCGTGCTGACGAACTCGCTGGCCAGCGCGGGAGAATTGCTCGCGAATCCGGTGGGGTTTGCGGTGGGGAAAGTACAGGAGGCGGTTAGGATGGTGACGGATGGGTATATGAGATCGGCGATTGATTATTTCGAGACGACGAGAGCGAGGCCGTCGTTAGCGGCGACGTTGCTGCTGACGACTTGGTCGAGGTTGTCGTTTCATACGGCAGATTTTGGGTGGGGAGACGCGGTTCAGTCGGGGCCGGTGGCGTTGCCGGAGAAGGAGGTTATATTGTTTCTGAGTCACGGGAAGGAGAGGAAGAGTATTAACGTGTTGTTGGGTCTGCCTGCTTCGGCCATGGAAACGTTCCAGGAGATCATGGATGAAGTAATTTCTGATGTTTAAATGTGGTTGTAGCGCTGATTGGTGTCCGTCCATTTGTTTGCGTATGAATTTGTGGCCTGCTTCTTCGGCGGCCATTTTAATTATTATGTCAGCCTTTGGTTTGTGTTAATTTAAGCCTTGTAATTTTATTTGATTAATAGAAAAATTTGTATTCCCTCGTCTTGATAAAATATAGAAAATTACAGTAATAAAATAACATTTCCAACAACTCCGACGAATGACTAACAGCAGAAGAAATATCCATTTAGGGTGTAAACTAATCGAACACGAATTAACAGAGCTTGTTTTTGTACGGGTACAAAAAAAACAGAACAAGAACGAACAAAACTTGTTCGGTTCGTTTGAAATTATGAAATTAAGTTTGTTTGAAATAAGTTCGTGCTTGAAATTGTTCGTGAAGTCACTGTTCGTGTTCGTTTCTTATCGAATGAGCCGAACAAGAGCTGCCTTTTTTTTTTTACTAGGAAACTCATGTATATATGGGAGTTACAATCAAGCTATCAAGAATACGGATTGGGCATTTATTATGAATTTAAATAATTGAATGATAATTTAAAATAATTTGGATGCAAGCACGTAATTGCCCCAATATTTTGCCGTTATTTAAGCTTAATTTGCCGAATTACGGCCTGATTAACACAAGTTTGGAAATAAATTTTTTATTACAAGCTTCATCGAACACTAATTAGATACACTTATAGACAAATTATAAGATACTTTAAAGGCAAAATTGGCTGAATATGGACACCAGTTTAATTTCATATATATATTACATGAAGTATTACACAACTATGAAATGCTTGATTTTGAGGCACCAATTTAATTATGGCTAGATACTTAAATTGCAAAAAATATCTCACCACTCAATCAGTGGACTATTACCAAATTTAAACGGAATCTCGAAGCTGCTACTAAAACATGGTGAACTTCTAAATCACACACGCGCAGTCACACTGCTAGCACAAATTTAAAAAGTTACAATCAAGCTATCAAGAATACGGATTGGGCATTTATTATGAATTTAAATAATTGAATGATAATTTAAAATAATTTGGATGCAAGCACGTAATTGCCCCAATATTTTGCCGTTATTTAAACAATCAAGCTATCAAGAATACGGATTGGGCATTTACTATGAATTTAAATAATTGAATGATAATTTAAAAAAATTTGGATGCAAGCACGTAATTGCCACAATATTTTGCCGTTATTTATGCTTAATTTGCCGAATTACGGCCTGATTAACACAAGTTTGGAAATAAATTTTTTATTACAAGCTTCATCGAAGACTAATTAGATACACCCATAGACAAATTAGAAGATACTTTAAAGGCAAAATTGGCTGAATATGGACACCAGTTTAATTTCATATATATATTACATGAAGTATTACACAACTATGAAATGCTTGATTTTGAGGCACCAATTTAATTATGGCTAGATACTTAAATTGCAAAAAATATCTCACCACTCAATCAGTGGACTATTACCAAATTTAAACGGAATCTCGAAGCTGCTACTAAAACATGGTGAACTTCTAAATCACACACGTGCAGCACACTGCTAGCACTAATTTAAAACTAAAAATATTACATCAGGAGTACTGATGCATCAGTACTTCAATGATGGGGTTTCACGTGGTGCCACGGTGGGATCATTGCATACGTGACACCTTATCATTAGAGTATTGATGCCCTTAGGTAATATTTTTTCAATTTAAAAAGCAAAAAAAAAAAAAAAAATTACAAATAGAACCCTTGAATGTTACAGTGTGATATGTGCTGCTTAATTTGCCGAATTACGGCCTGATTAACACAAGTTTGGAAATAAATTTTTTATTACAAGCTTCATCGAAGACTAATTAGATACACCCATAGACAAATTAGAAGATACTTTAAAGGCAAAATTGGCTGAATATGGACACCAGTTTAATTTCATATATATATTACATGAAGTATTACACAACTATGAAATGCTTGATTTTGAGGCACCAATTTAATTATGGCTAGATACTTAAATTGCAAAAAATATCTCACCACTCAATCAGTGGACTATTACCAAATTTAAACGGAATCTCGAAGCTGCTACTAAAACATGGTGAACTTCTAAATCACACACGTGCAGCACACTGCTAGCACTAATTTAAAACTAAAAATATTACATCAGGAGTACTGATGCATCAGTACTTCAATGATGGGGTTTCACGTGGTGCCACGGTGGGATCATTGCATACGTGACACCTTATCATTAGAGTATTGATGCCCTTAGGTAATATTTTTTCAATTTAAAAAGCAAAAAAAAAAAAAAAAATTACAAATAGAACCCTTGAATGTTACAGTGTGATATAAATAGATAATACCATGTAGAGAATAATTTCAAGAGAAAAAAATTAATTTACTTGATATATATGTGTGTGTGTGTACATACATACATACATAGTAAAATCAATTCCACCTAATTTACAAACTCACCAATTATATGAGTTTATATTAGGGAAGGAAATAATTCTAACAAAAAGGAAAAAAAAATAAATAGAAAGGGAATAAAACTAAGAAAGGTGTTCCCAAAAAATATCCTCAATTAAATCTTACCATGAGCTAAGATTTGTAACCAAACAAGCAATTATAAGAACTTCACATATTATACGATTCAAACTTCCTTCCATTCATATTTTCACACATGACATTTATGAAAGTCAAAACAATTAATAAAAATTAAAATTTTTAAATCATAATCCCATTCCTTACATATATAACACCTAGTTGATTTTGTAGAAAAATGAATAAATGAAAGATTTGCATGCTCTGTGCAGTCATTTTTGGCCTCTACAACCAACATTGTTCATATATGCATTTGTGCCAATCAAAACATGCAGATGACAATGAAATCTCTTCTCTGCATGGCTTTTTTGCTCTTTTCTTCTCTTTTGCTGAGGAATACGATAGTCGTCAATGCAGGGTCGGTGGTGAAGATGGTGGTGGTGGATCTTCATGGCCACGGGGACTTCACTTCTATACAGAAGGCTATCGACTCTATTCCAGATGGCAATAAGGATTGGACCAAAATTTATATTAAAGCTGGAGTTTACTCGTAATCTCTTCACTATATATTTTATCTATATATTGTCATATAATTATACATTTTTGTATAATGTGCATGGTATTTTTCTTATGTGGCGTTAGCTTCAATAATAAGACAACGGTAGTTAAATGGTAATTTACAAGTTTTGATTATTATTTATATATTTATTTCACTTTTCTTAATGTAAATTGAAGATTTTTAATACTCATATTGACCAAATTTTGCGGAGGATATTCTTATATGATTCTTCCCCATAAGATAAGATGTGCATTCTAATGTTATTTATTTGAGATTTATTCTTAGTAGTCATGTGTTTGAGTGGAGTGAAAAAAGCATTGCTCTCTCTTTTAACATTGTCATGTCATTTTTCTTATACACAATGCATTTGCCTAACAAACTGTGATCTCATTTTAAAAATTCCTCTTGGCTTTCTGGCTTTCTTCTCTGTGCACTTGGCCCTCACCCTAGTTTCAAAAACCTTAAATCAGTCACCATCGCACGCCTCCAGCGGGCCGCCAACGTGTCATCTGTTGCTCTACCACTAATAGTCTTGTGGTTGTGGATGGGGTTTAAATAACCGCAGAACGTTGTTCTCTTTCTCATTTACATTTGGTGTTTTTTGGTTTAGTAACTCATCATAGTTTTCAACTTGGTTTTATGTCTTTCTGGTTTGGAAACTTATCAGAATTTAGCGTTTAAGCTAGCCGAAGACAAGCAGATCTCTGTTCTCACTTTGAGTGTATTATGCTTGAGATAAATTGGGAGCATTTGTTTGGAAAATAATTCACTTGTGGAAGAGTCATACACAATTTTTTGTCATGAACGCTTTCCAAGAGAGATTGCTTTCACTGCAATTTAGGCCATTAACTGAACATTATTTGCCATAGAGGAAGTATTATTGACCTTTACTAAACTAGACGTGTTTTATGAAAAAATATTATGTTTTGTTCACTGCATGTCTGGATGGCGGTCTAGTTGCAACCGCGCCGCCATGGATTCCCTAGGGGCCCATACAGACAGTTGTCGAGACATATGGTTGCCGCACATCATAATTTTTTTATATTCTTTCTTCTTCTTCTTCTGCAAAAGTTTATATTGATGACTTGTTATATATTTATATTAATCAGTAGTCACATTGATGTTGAGATAGACATTTTTCTTGTTTTTATTGCTCATACTGATTATGTAATTTGGAGAGAACTCTTCATGCTGACGTATCCAGAAAAAAATTATTTTATTATGTTGTCTGTCATATATACTGTACATAGAACACGGCGTATGTGATCATCATATTATCAGATGAATGAAATATTATGCTATTATTCTTTGAACCGCAAACATGGGCCTTGTATTTTTTTTGTTATCGTATAGAGGAACAATGTGCGTAAACGTAGATGCTTGGATTTTTCTTCTCTGCTCGTGTGGCTCCCTTTCCTCTGGCATTCTCTTTGTGTGGTGGTTGCTTTCCTGAAATATGTCGTGAAATTATTTAGTGATTAGAAATAGAACTTTTATATTAAGGGTATCTGTTATGATTTTACTTTTCTACCCTTTGGTAGTATTTACAAAATTGCCATTCCTTGAGTCTAGAATAAGAAAAGTGACTTATCATTCTTTAGATTTAATTTTCTTTCCTCTTCTTCTTCTATTACGTTCTTCGAGTGTGCATGTTCTTACTTTTTAGAATTTACTATCTCTAAAACTTCATGAAGCAGTATTGGATGAAATTTTAGAATAATTAAGATGAGTATCAGTTTCTCAGACTCGATTACCATAATTTCTTACAAAAAAAATAAAAAATACTTGGAATCAATTGTATCTTCTCCTTTTTTTTACTAGCAAACACATTAGTATACACCCATTTAATTGTGAACTGAAATATTTGTTGTCACTACTATAATAATTACTTTGAGTCTATGTTCTTAAAACAAGATTTGGTTTTAAGAAATTGCGTTAAGTGATGTATCTTCGACTATAAGTAGTTCATTAGGTTCATCCTCAATTGGTTCATGAATCTTCCTTTGGTGCATAAGAAAGATAACCTTCATAGAATACTCCATAGTCTTTGGCGACCAACTTCTCATAACAACTACAAAAACAACGAGATGATTTTTCTAGGTTATTTACATTAATTAATCAATAAAAAATAGGCAAAATCACCCAACACACAGTTTGATGAATCATCCCCATTTACAATTAAGAAACTATTTTATAATGTATCCTAAGAAGAACAATATCACATTTTAGACAATGAGCTTGGGTTTAAAAAAGCACTATCCACCGTAAACTTGTCACAATTTTAATAAGGCATTCTTTAATTATCGTGTGCTCACTCTCATACACACACACACACATTATCATAGTCAAGTCCTGTAAGTATTCCATTAAAGTCATGACTGACCTCTATTATGAGTGCAACGATCCTCATGAAATTTTTAATGACATCTGAATTATTATGAGTACTCTAAATAGTTTAAGAATAATGCTCTATAATTTTATTTGCCTACTTTTAAAGGACATGCTTGAACTTGATTCTCCCTCATTCCTCAAAATCTATTAAGGCTTTCCTAATTAAATAAAATTATATATTAATTACCATCATTTCATTCAAAACTCAGGGATTATTAACAACCTATTCACCTATTGACCAAGAGAAATTTTTTGCCTACTCTTAAAGGACATGCTTGAACTTGATTCTCTCTCATTCCCCAAAGTCTATTAAGGCTTTCCTAATTAAATAAAAAATTAAATATTAATTACCATCATTTCATTCAAAACTCAGGGATTATTAACAACCTATTCATTTATTGATCAAGAGAATTTATCCCATTGATGATCAATTTCATCGCCCTTTTCTAACAAGCACTAAACCCTAAGCTGATGTACATATTGATCAACATGATTGAGCTACTTCCTTAGTAAAAATACTATATATATTCATGTTTCTCCAATTCATATGGGAATGAATTTTGTTAGCCCTTTACTTGGTGACATATTTTTATCTCGGATGGTGCAAAATTCCCTGGATTTTTACAAAAAAAATACTTACATTTTAACCATGTTAATTCATTTAAAATTTTATATTTGAAGGCAGTGTGAATCTCCCCCACTCATGCTTGGTTTCTCAAAAATCTTAATTAATGGAACGAATTTCATTGTTCAATGTTTGGTGTCATAGGGAGAAAGTGAACTTAACCAAAAACAAGGGCCGCCTTGTCTTCGAAGGAGATGGCCCCTCTTACACCAAAATTCAATGGGGCGATCACTGCAGTCTTAGCAAAGTCTCCCAAACCTCTGATACTGCCACCTTCACTTCAGCAGCCACCGACGTCGTCTTTAAGAGAATAACTTTCATGGTTTTCCTCTACTTCTTTTGATATAAACGATTTAATATCTTAATATATATGTTTGATCAAACATTTTTAATGTACATTTTGAACTCATATGAACACTCATTATCAGAATACTTATAACGACATAGCAAACCCTAGAATAGCAGTCGCCATGTTAGTCTCTGGAGACAAAACTTCCTTCTATGACTGCTCGTTCGTAGGAATACAAGACACCTTATGTGACCTGCAAGGTAGGCACTATTTCAAAAACTGCCAAATTGTGGGTGCTGTTGATTTCATCTTTGGCTTCGGGCAATCTATCTATGAGGTATTTTATTAATGAGGTCCTTATATATTAATATGTTTACATTTGTGAATGAGGATTTAATTTATTTGCTTACTCCATGCAGAGATGCCAGATAGTAACAAGTAGAGGGCTGCTTGTGCCAGGTTGGGTGACTGCTCATGGGAGATATGAACCGCTGCAACCCACCGGGTTTGTATTTAAGAATTGTAGCTTGACGGGCTTCTCGAAGGTTTATCTTGGACGAGCATGGGGAAGATATTCAAGGGTTGTATTCTATAACACTTTTATGGCAGATATTGTTCTTCCTAAAGGATGGGATAGCTGGCATACGCCTGACCATGGGTTTGTGCTTTCCTTTTACTCATATTTATACTAATTTCAATTACCATAATACTTCTTTTGCAAGATCTATGTAATCATTTCACAAAATATTGGATAGCTGATTTAAGTTTGTATTTGATATTTCTCAATCAATCACTTTCTAGGATTAATACAAACTATGGAGAAGCTGGTTGCACTGGACCTGGCGCGGATACTAGAGCTAGAGTTCCATGGGAGAAGAAGCTTAATCCCAAATATATCCAACAAATTACAAGTATAACTTTCATTGATAGCGAAGGCTGGCTTATCAACCAGGGACGATGATCTTTTTTTTACGAAGATTCACATCTTCAATCTTCAACACGTAATATATATAAGCTTTTATTAATTAGCTTTTATGTTAGAACTTATCATGTGAATATATGACACTCTTTTTGATTGTGCCCTCATATGTTATGAGCATCACAATCAATAATATTTTATTTTAAAAGAGATTTTATTTGATTAGTATAGATATTAAAAAGAGAGAACTTTTTAAAAAATTTTCTTATAAACTTTATGAAAGGCAGTATAATTTGTTTATTTATTATGAGGAATGCAAGAAATTCATTCCAATCTACACATATAAAAAATATATATATATATATATATATATATATATATATAAGAAAATTTGTGCTTCAATTTTGATGAATTGCATTCTTTTTCTTTTGTACATTTCGTAATAATAAAGGATTTCTAGTACTCCTTAAAGGTATATAGTTTCTAAGGAGTGAAAAAACTCAATAATTTTGTCATCTTGGAAAGCTGACGTCCAAGAAGAAATGAACTATCTTTGCTAAAATATATCAACGCCTATTCTACTTACAAAAAAAAAAAAAAAAAGGAACTCTTACAAACATATCATGCAATGTTTACGTATTTACATATCCAACAACTACACATTCATATTTACATACATACAACTCAAATTTTTAACTTCGTAACAAAACTATCATCATCACTATCATTTTTAAAAGTGAAATATACATTTTCATGTATAATTTTATGACCACCAAGACCAAGGTGTTGTAAGTATCAAACTTTGTGTGTTAGATATGTAAATACATAGGAATTATGTGTGATGTATGTAAATTTCCAAAAAAAAAAAGTATAACATTGTGATTTAAATACATAGGAATTATGTGTTATGTATGTAAATTTCCAAAAAAAAAAATATAACATTGTGATTAAAAAAAAAAAAAAAAAACTGTTGCTCTTCTCTAATTCTGGCTAAATAAGCAACTTCACCTCAACTATGATAAAGAGCTTAGACCTAAAACCTTAACTCTATGGCCATTTCTAATTAATTAGACCATATTTGTAATTTCTTAAATATTAGAATAAAATCAAAATTAACTTGCAAGTCCAATGCATTAATTCTACAATTGTGGCTTCTATAGGCCATTTCTTAATTTTGGCATGCTATTTTGGGATCAATATATTAGGAATCAGGTTCCATAGTTATGACTTATTCCAATGAATGATCTCTAATTGAAGAAAATAAACTATTTGAAGAATACAAAATAGCTTTATCTTATACACAATGAAAATTTGTGAGTTCTTTCAGAACCAATTCAATAGAGGCATATAGTGTCAAATGGTTCTAAAATCTTTATATGTATCACATTACAATTCTAACAATCTGCTCCTGCCTTTGAAAAGATAGAGCTAAAAGCAATCATTTGTATAGATTTTTCTATTGATATGGATCATCTAGATATCTACATCCACAAAGTGTAGAATTGTCGGTCCATGTCTACAGGTTGTTAGCTTATTGAGAAATCGATATGTTCCTCCAAAATACTCTCCATACTAGCCTCCATCTTAGATGAATCTAGCATGTCCAGATCATATATGTTATAGGCACCTTATACAACATTAAGCAAGCTAGATCTATTCTTTTTCTCTCCCAAGCATAAGAGGAGATGTCATATGGCCATCATTCAACTAATAAACTTAAGAGCGAGCCTTGACACATTCCAAACTAGTTGCCCAGGCATAAGAAAAGATTTCTTTTGGCTATCGTTCAACTAATGAATTTACAAGCTAGCTTTTATCCTTCAAACTTACTTCATCAATGGCATTCTAGACTCATTCTTATGTCTTGTCAAGTTGCACCTATTCTCATGTGATTCATTAGGAAAAAAAAGATGAAGATTAATGCTTCCTAAAATTATTAGATTCTATAGGATACATCATACAAATATAGTCATGCCTTTTGATCATTGATCTTGGCAAGGGGGACACCAAGTAACAAAAAAATTGTAGTTCTTCCACCTTTGCCTACAAGTTCATAATGTAATGGAAATTTACATTCATATAACATAATTTTTTTTTAATTACATATTAAATAACTACAGTTTTGTTGGATCCCAGATTTTCTTTCGTGAATACTCCTTGAGAGTTAAAGTCGAGTGAATGAGAGAATAAAATGAATCAAAAGTTACGGTGGAGAGAATCGGGGAAGAGTCCCTTATTCATCTTTTTCCTTTTATTTATAGAGGCGTATTTTGTACAATTGTAGAAAGGAAAGAACATTTGTGTAAACCATTTTTAATATGATTAATGCTCTAATAAATTGTATGGATTTTATTCTATATATGTATTACAATTTGAATTTTGATATGGTGGCAATTGGCTGATTAATTTGCTTGAATGTGGATGATTGAGGCGATCGACTGGGTGACGACCATGCTTTGTGTTGGGTCGACTGAGTTGCTCGATCGAATGAAGATCTTGTCCACCGCAACAAAAGCAGGTCGGTCGTCCAATTACAATCAGGGTGTTTCTGCTTGCGCATCAGTCAGTTGGTTGGTCGACTGATGAATCAATTTGTTTTGTTGGGTGAACTGTGGTTCACTTGTCGCTTTGGCTCAAGTCTTAAGGTGACTACATCTCGTCTACCTGGTCGGTCCGTCGCCTCATCTGGATATCTCTATTTACAAAGTCTTTGGCGGATCTTATAGTTGTCTTTGTGAGTTATCGGATGAAACTTGCTTCTAGAATGAAATATGTCTCGCCCATGGCAGATCTTGTCGCTATCTGGCAGTAAACCATCTCTAGAGCTTTGACCTTCTTAGGTTTAGGGGCGCGACATCACCTGCTTGGTGGTGACTTGTCGGTCGACTGTTTATCCATAGGGAAAGCTTTTTTTTTTGTTTGGTCGTTCATTCTATTTGAGATTTGTGTCAATCGCTCTAGTTTATACAAGTTTGTATTCATATTCATAACAATTTCATGTTATAAACCTAAGCAAAAAAATATATATTTCATTTTTAAGAAGTTAATAATATTGATATTTTTGCAGTGATGTTAGAGATTTAAGTTATTCTCAAGTATTTAAATTGTATTAAATTAAGTATATTTTTTTTTGTAAATGTTACCTTATTTTATATTTTAATGGATGCCAGGTAGTAGTGGTTCATAAGTGGCAAAAATTGTCGGGCATGGATATTCTCGTGGTGGCAACAGATCGACAAGTGTGTTCTGGTGGTGGTGCGGAGCTTGATAATCCTCAAGAGCTAGGAGTTCCTTTAAACTTCTCATTTAGCTCCCGCCCCCCATGAAGAAGTGAGGATGTATTTATAGATTTTGGGAGTGATGTACTTGCTAAATACTGCAAGAATCTCTTCCATCAATGTTTCTAAGTGATTCTTTTGATCAGATGATACTTTATGAGTATTTGAGTCTTAATAATGTTAGATTTGTTTTATCGTGATGCTCAATTTGAACATAAACTTGTCAAATTTGGAGATCATTTAGTCTTTCAAAATATGTCACAAACTTTTTTCTTTATGCTTTAAGCACATTGTCTAGGCTCACTTGGACTTAGATCCGATCATTTTTTTATTTGTTATTTGATTGTTCTCACGAGATTTTATTTGATCATAAATTGAAGCGCGAGCATTTCCAAATTTTATTTTTGAAGCTTGTGACCCAAATGTGCATCAAAATTTATGTAAATCAGTATAATTTTTTAGTAATGTGCCGATATTAATGAATGTTTCTAATTGTAATCGTTTATTTCTGTTAAAAAAAAACACGATAAAAAAAAATTTGTTCATGAAATGAAACTTCCTCCATTACCCAATAATAGGCTAATCAACTTGGAAAATATCACAAATTTAAATTTTTCTTACACTTTTTATAGTCTTTTTCGTAAGGATTTTAGCTTTTTTGAATAAAAAGCAATAAACTCTAAAATCGAGAATTAGAAAAAATAATCTCTCATCTAAACATATATTGTCTGTTCTTTAATTTGTATTATTCTAGATGCACATTTTTTAGTCAGAAATGTTCAAACTTTAATAAAAAGTCATCCAGAAGTTTAATTTCAGAAACTTAATATCAAATTGACTGGCTCGACGAAGCAAACCCATAATACCAAAATTGGTCTAATTCGAGTCAAATCAAGCTCATATCAAGCCATTAAAGTACTTTTAGAAGCTTTCCATACATTTGTAGAAAATCAAATGGATGTTGAATCTGATGGGCTTATAGTCGAATCAAGTGTTTTGATAAGACGAACCAACGAGCCCAATATCACTCAATTCTTACATTAGTAAAACACTCAAATGCCCACCAAGTGTTGGTTGATTAACGGAATCACTCAGAACAGTTCAATCAAAATAGTTTATATTCCTTCCTGAATTAATTACAACCAATACTATATAAATAGAGTCCCACCCATCTTATGAGGAGAGCTTGAAGTTTGGGGAAGGGAGCTGGAAGTCTAGGGAGGAGACCTTGAATCCTAAAGAGAGTGCTTGAAGCTTTAAGAAGGAGCTGAAGTCCAACAACACTTTATCAATGTCGACCACCGCTGACCTCCTTTGTTCACCGCAAACTGTCATCGACTACTGCCGACCACCATCAACTACCGTCTGCAATCGGTCGTCGTTTATTTCTTGCAACAAGTTTATTCGTATGTCGACATTATAACTTGAGAGACTTTTTAACCCTTTCCTGACTGTGAGAAAAGTGTTTGAAACTATAATCTTCATTTTATAGTAGAACTCTTCCGCTGAGCCAAACCCTTTAGTTTTTCTCTTACGGGATTTTCACGTAAAAACTTCTGATGTCGCTAGTTGTTTTCTCTCTTTTGTGTTATATATATATATATATATATATTGCACATATAAACGAACTCATAAATGATTAATCTGCCTTGAAGTTGGGCCATTGGCAATTTATGGCCTTTTGGGACTGTTAATCGGAGTCATCGGGCCTTACCGAAATACCGATCTATTGGGAAATTTGAGCGAAGGGTTTCTTTGACTGTT